TGCAGAACTTGCTGGTCTGTCAAGAGCGCATTGCGCATCCTCCACAGATTCGAACAGGCATGCGGTTTACAACAATCTAAGTAGGCCGTTCGTCACCACCAGCGTCGTCCGTTAAGGATGCCCTCTCCCGCAGTTGCTGTTCAGTTTCGTAGTAAACAAAATACTGGGGAAACAAGCTTGTTCTCTACTCTGTTCTTCCTACAATGTCTAGTGATGGTATATTCGGACAATTGATACAAACAGCAACAACAGTCAAATGATAATTGTCCGAGTCATCAGGAACTATGATGCCGACGAAGTGACGTATTACTGGTAGCAGCATAAGTCCACCAGAGAATGTGGAATTGTATTCTAATTTATGAAGATGTTCTGTCTAGAAGAGACTGAATACATATATGGTAACGGAGAAGTAACCGTGAGAAAATTGTGACCACTAGCGTTGTATTACTCGGTGAATTGCTTAAAAAAGTTTGTTCTCCATAATACACAAAGCATGTTTTGGTTTATTTTTACTTATGGATCATCAAGTTTGGTGAAAATCAAACAAACAACTTACGCAGTTAGTGAGAAAAGCAGATTATGCATATATGTGAGAGTATTTATTGACAACAGTAATAAAGAGGAATCTGTGCTCACAGATTAGATGACGTTCAGTGTGCAGTGGGAGGAAGGGATAAAGACAAAAGAGCTTTCTGTACACGAATGAGACACAAATTTATGGGAGTACACCAATCAGTCAGCGTCACCAAGTCGCATTGACTCTTCCCCTGCGTCCTCTTCATCTCTCACGCACTGTTGTGTATCCGTCTGTGATAGAAGGGCTGACTGAATGACGGGGGCGCTTGTCTCTGGAAGTGAGACTTCACCGGGGACAGTCAAAGCACTCGGGCCCGGAGACGGTTGATCGTCGACAGACGGGTTCGCATGTGAGCGCACACCTAAAGACTCATCCAAAATTCGAGATCGAGGCACACGTCGTGACCTGGATGGATGCAGTTGTGCGGCCGAATCGGCTGCCGGAGTACTTTGAGCAGCAGAAGTTGTGGGTGGTTGAAGCGAGGACTGATTATTCACGTTGGTACCATTGGGATCGTCCGCGGAGTCTGTGAAACCCAACAACGCGAGCAAAGCACTCACTGGGTAATCTAGGGTCTGCAACGAAGAGAGAAATATGTGTGGAATAAAGCTTGAATACTTTTGCGCGTTTGATTAGGTATAAGATTGCACTGTAGATAGAGTAGCAAGTGATTTGTCGTGTTTTAAGGACTGCATCAAGAGAGAATCAATAAATTTCTTAGTATAGAGCTAATTAGTCGAATTGCGTTTGAATCAAGGAAATCGATAAGTTTACTTTTGTTGGTGTGATAAATGGAAAAAATACTACCATCACTTAGAATTGCTCGTTTACCACTGGATACAGATTACACAATATTTTCAAATAGCTGCTAATACATCGATCACGTGGCCGCTTCACCTCCACTTCGAACATGTATCGATCGTAACTTCCATTACTGAAGGCGAAAATCCCCCCGGGGGATTTTTTTCTTATGAAGATTACTGTACCACAAATTGTTCTACACAAACCGGATGCAGACTACTATGACATTATGGCAATAAAGATCATAACTTATGTGCACAGGCGTTTTAATGTGCATTAAGGTACCTTTGCGAACGGGAACAAGAACCATGGAGGGTAATGACAATACTGAGGGTTGTCTATATCAGCATATTACTAGCAGCAGAACTGTACACGAATAGGGGAACCGGTGATTAATTGTGAATAAAAAGGACCCAAGTTCACAGAGTGAGCGGCAGGAAGAGGACCGGGAGTGGGTTACTTCGCATGAATCATTCCTATGGGACACCACCAGAGTTCTAAGTCAGTATTGTTACGTAGCGAGTGTGACCAGTCGTTCACAAGGTCATCACCGCTGGTTCATCATCATCATCATCATGCAGAGAGATACTATCGCCGATCCCTGCCAAGGCAACAGTCAACAAAAAGTGCGAAAGTTTATTATGGATAGTGAGTGGGCCTGTTTTGAAGGGAGAACAAAGTGGATTAATGTGACCAAGGAACAGAGTACACTTTCTAACGGTGCATACACAACTCGTCAAGCATTTTGCCCTGATAAGAAGCGACAACAAGAACGACAATATTGTCCGTTCGCTGCCATTTTCTTCAGTATCTCCAACCAAATAGCTATCCTTTCGGATATCAGTCTGGAGAACGGGCAACACCCATTCTACCTCAGCGGTCTGTGCATTTCTACATACCGAGCGGCGATGATCAAGCGGTTTCGGTTAATCACCTATCACCGCAAGCTAACTTTCATCTTGGCCTTGTATTACTACACGGCAGTCTTGGATTAACTGATTTTTTTTCATTCCTGATAATTGGGCGAATAACGACGTATTGAACAAGAATATGAACAAGGGAGAAGAAAGACTTGCCTTCATGTTAGCTGTTCACTTGGAGGTGATTTCCTCGAGCCTGTAACACCAACTGTAAACGAGCCCCTTGGAATGAACGACTATTGGACATGTGTAATGTATCACCACTTTTTTATTCATATGAAATCCATCTAGGCTTGTTTAGTTGCTTCAGTTTGATTGACACAAACTACTGGGCAGTTCTTGATCAGCAATAATATGCACTGTTTATGGAACCAAATTATTCTAAGTAAAACTAAGAAAATATGCAACAAATGCACTAAACGATGCTTGGATTCAGTTAGATGGCTTCGTTAAACCATCAATAATCTTGATATTTGACGCAGGGTGAAGATTTTATCGATACAACAGCGACCTGGTCGAAATCCTGCTGGTTGTTCGCGGATGTTTGTCTCCCTGAACGGTGTCAGACGTCGAAGTATGATGGAGGCTAGTAACTTGATGACGATTGGGATCGAACTTATTCCACGGTGGTTTGCGCAGTCATTGCGAGGTCCCTTCTTAAAAATTGAAACGATCAATGATGATGGCATGCGCTCGTGTGACGCAATGCCACGCATTATATCAGTAATAGCTTCTACGAGTTCATCGCCCCACCATCTTGAAAAGTGGGGGGAAGCCCGTCCGGTCTTGCTGCTTTTCCTTTCTTCAGGGCTTGGATTCAAGAACGAACTTCTACTGCAATAGGAGATTCAGATGAAACTGTCCACAGAGCCTCAGCTACATCGGAGGAGATAGCCTGGTTAGCGCCTGGCCAGCTGAACTGTTCGTTGAAGTACTCCATCCACCGGTCAAGTCGTTGTTCCCTATTGTGAATAGCTTGTCCACTTTTGTCGCAGATTGTTTCACTAACTGTGGTTCGCCGAACTCCCCTGTTCCGTGTCAGTTGGAACAGTCTTTGATGTAGCTGCTTCTTCTATTTCACTAGCTATCGCTGCCCACCAGTTCTCACGATCTTTCTTGGGACTCTTCTTGAGTTGACATTGCAGACGCCATCTAACCCTGACTTGATCGCGGGCGGTTGAGATTTGCCACTTTTTCTCCATCAGTGCTACTGACTCATCATATATTTAATGCCTCGGTCGGGCTACCGCTTCAGATCCACAAGGAACCTTCGCTGCGAAGTGCATTGCTCGGCTAATCGGATCCCATTGTTCATCTACACTACCACCACGCAGTGCATTTAGCTCTTGCTCTAGTTCTGATCCAAAACGGGCACGAACGGCTAAATCAGATAAGCGATAATCTGCCAATCAAGTTTGGTGGGTTTTTCTGCTACCATTCAGTTGGAGAGTGAGCTGCATCAAAACTAACGCATGATCAGATTTAACGCACGTAGTCCAAAAGAACCTGCAGCTTTGTGCTGAACCACGTCAACGGTAGCTTAACTGCTATGTGGTCGATCCGAGTTAGCGTGCCAGTTGAATATGAGCACCACATTGCCGTCCGTTGACAGCTGTGTCGGAAGTTGGTGCTCGATAGGAACAGATGATGGTCTGCGCAGAACTGAAGAAGTCGGTCGCCATTCATCATCACCATCGTATAGCGAGCTTCACTGATCACTGTCATGTTCACAATATACACAATTCAAGTGATAAAACACAAGATGGAGAGGGACTGGGCCTACTTGGAGGGAGGCAAAGAAAAAGAACCTCTATGTTCTACACACAGAGCACACAATCTAAGTGTTCATGCACACCTTTTTTCAAGCATTCTGCCTCGTTAAGAAATGACAACAAGAGCGCCACTGCTGTCGGTTAGTCGGCATATCCTTTAATGTCTCCAGCCAACCAGTTGTAGAGTTTTTCGGACCCCAACCTGGAAGACGGGAGACACCAATTCTACCTAATCGCTCTGTGCTTTCTTCATGCCTCGCTTTCACGCCATCTGTTGACCACTACTCGGTTTCTTCCAACCTGGAACCGCATTGCGAATAAGGCGCGGTACGTCGGACGATGGCTGGACATGCGCAATACGTGTTCTAACCAGCGAAGCCGACTAATCTGAATTCGATGGGACAACGAATTCTCCATCGATTCATTACTTCACGTCAGAGTTGCTTACAAGCTCGCTCCATCCAACCCGAACCAAACTACGTAAACGTCTGTAATCGAATACTTCAAGACGACGAGTATCTTCCACGCGTAAATTTAGGGTCTCGCAACCATAGAGCAGAACTGGCCGCACACTGGCGCAGTATACACGACCTTTCAGTTTCAACGAAACATCGCGTCTACACCAAAGGTGTTTCAA